TATATATATATATATTGTATATTAATTTGATAAAATAATATTTTGAAAATATTTGATATAATAAATCTAACAAAATTATTTTTGTATTAATATCTAATATCAATTTTATTTAATTTGAGATCAAGTTTATCAATTTTGATCATAAAAAAAAATTAAAAATGAACAAATACCCAGAGACGGAGGAAGTAGTTGATTGAGTGCATTGAGTACGTACGTAGGAGGCCACATTTTGAGTAGCAATAATGCTTTATGTTCGGTTGAGAAGAAAAAGAGAAAACATTGTAAAAGGAAACAAAGTGAATGTGAAAAACCATAGACATATCAATTGTTGTCATTTGAGCTGGGTTCTCGTTGAAATTAACTTTAAAATTGGGCGAGATTTCGAGGGTCACAAGATTTTTAAATGGACTCGAGTAGGGCAAAATTATAGTGATGTCCATTTTGGGTGTTATATTATGATACTGGTCTAGTTGATTCAAGTTGGGCAAAGTTATAGTCCCACAACTTAAGTAAATTAAATTGGTTATAATTAAATTATCCGCTCCGAGTATTTATAAATGGAGTATAATTTGTGCGAAGTATTAGTTTATACAAACACACACTAGTATTTTAACTCTTGTCATGCACGGATGAAATAAAATTACTTTTTATTCTATGAAAAATACTTTTTTTCCTACACATTAGTATGATTCTACTACCCTGCCCCACCCCATTGATTAAAAATATAATAATTTTCCCTTTTATTAATAAAGATATAAAATATGATATAACTCTGATACTATAGTCTTCACATATTCATTTACTACAATATTGTTAAATGATAAAATAAAATATAATTCTAATACGATGCATTCTTTCATCGTACAAATTAAAATCTTTTCATATTTCCATTTTTACTCGTCTTATGCGTGTCTTAAAGATTCTCTGCATATATGATTTCATTTATTTTATTCAAATTGATATTTCTTCCCGTATTAGATAAATTAATATTGTAAAAATTACTAGGCAATAACTTTATTTACATTGGGAACAATACAATCAGGGCCGGTCCCGAGAATTCCATGGCCTGGGCCGAGACTGGAAAAAAATGCCTAAAGGTCTTATTCCTAATGACTTAACGAATTAAAGTGTGTAAATAAATTATATTTGAATTACAATTAACGTAATAATGATTTACTAAAATGAGTGGATGTCAAAATCAATAATTTACTAAATAAATTATATTTGAATAACTTATATCCCCAAATCAATGTTCTGGAAATTAGTCCGGATGTCAATCCAGACGAGCTAGTGGGTCAAGGGTTAAATAGTTGAACCAGCTAGTCGACTTAGGGGTCAACAGCTTGATCAATTTTAATTAAAATAAGTTATATTATTATATTTTTTTTTATAAATAAGGAAATTTAATTTGTGTTTTTTCATTCTTCCATCTAGTTTTTTTAATATCATTTTGCATATGTCATCACAATTTCTATTTTCTATTTGTATTATTTATTACAATTAGAGATAAATAATGAATATCAAATAAATATATACTAAAATAGAAAGGCAATACAATTATTTAAAAAAATAAAAGCCAGGTAATGTGTTTTTAGATAATACTACGTAATTTGTATGTAACTAACACTTCATACTTATATTTAGTTGATTGAAACAAGAAAAGTAGAAGACAAAACTAATTTTAATATATTAAAGTATAATTAATAAGCATTTCTTAATTTTTATTGATGATTTTTTTTAGGTATAAGTATTTATATTAATTTTTAGAAAAAAACATAAAAAGAAGTTATTTTTCTACTTGTGTTTCTTTTTTTAAATAATTGAAAGTTTTATTAAACGCAAGTATCTTATATATCCTATTAGGTAATATATGTAACAATGTGATTAGTAGCTCGAGTGGATGAAGTGCCCCTTGTCCCCCGCGTTATTGGGCCCGGTCCGGTAGGGCTGCTCGGCCCACCCTTGGGCCGGCCCTGAATACAATGTCTCAAATCTCGAGATATGTTTCATAACCTTTTCATGCATACATCATAATAATATTTTCCATGATGCTTAATTTTGAGCCATTTGAAACCCTGTTTTAAAAGATTATGTTGATTTGTCATGTTTTTCAAATTCTCTATGGATACTAAACTTATTATAATAGTGGAATCATTCTTATACATATTTTGTCATATTGTAAAAAATGATGTTGGTTGTGTGAGATTTGTAAATAATGTGTATTCAATAAATTTGAGTACAATAAAGTTATTGAAACCCGAATAAAGATATTAGAAATATAATACTCCCTCCGTCCTAAAACTTTCTTCCCAGAGCACTATTCCAACTTCACGGGAATTTATATTTATTTGTGTTTTTTCATGGCCTATATGATAAAATAAAATATTCTTGTCACCACGTGTTTTGTTGAACTTTTGATGTAGTTTTTAAATATGTATGTTTTATTTTTTATTTGTATACCAATATTTAAATAAAATAGATTGAAAAAACTTGAGATTTTTTTTCGTATTGTGCAACAGGAAGAAAGATATTGGACGGAAGGAGTACTAAATTTGAATCAATTAGTTTTTGAAAAGGCAAATATTATTTTTTAAAAAATGACTAAAAAGAGAGGAAGAAAAAAAATAAAGTTGGAAGAACTAAAAAGAAAGTAAATATTCCATTATTTTGTACTCTGTATTTCCTTATAATCAGAGTGATGCATGCCATGTAAATATTTTATTCTTTTAAAGTCTTCTTGCATTGGCGTTGGAGGGCAAGCCATTTCGCTTTTTCTTTGCAACTTTGCATTTTTTTCTTTTCATATTTTTTTATTTGGAAAAAATAAATAAATGACTCGATCTTTGTAATTAAGAATGGATGGCCCGGCCCCCTGATTTCATTGATGACTGAGAGGGAATTAAAGGAAAGGAAAAGACTCCAACAAACAAATAATCCACACTAAATACGAATTTTAATGGCATTAACGTCGGGAAATGTTCATACTTAATTAGAGCCTCAAATATTTCACACTCTCCTCATTCAATTTTAATTAAATAGCATTAAAATCAGCTGTCTCTTTGCCAGTTTATATTTATTTATTCATTTATTTTCACACCCTATTTAATTAATTTTTTAGGTTATATTTATGAGAAATTTGTTGGTGTAATTGTAATACCATTTCATCCCTAACAAAAATAATTCAAATAGGCATCCTGCATCTCTTCATTTCTTCACTTATCTTTTACAACTTGTCTGACTCAAAAATAATTATTTTATTTTTTTAAAGAATCAATTAAATAGCTTATAACATTTTTTTTCAATAAACAAACTCTATCAACACATATTTTACTTATCAATAATTTTTAAAATTTTGTAAAGCCAGATAATTAATTATATTCCTTTTGGGGTTTTTTATTCTTATTTTGATATTCATTTAACATGAATGATGTGATTGTCTAATACATCAAAATTGAAGGTAACCATGTAACAAACTGCGGCGTTAACCCTTTTTGAAGACGAAAAATAATTATATTACGATAGTAACATTATTTTTTGAAAATATGTGATGCCTGGTAAAGGATTTTAATACTTCCTCCTTCCCTCATATATAAATATTCCTAGATAGTATTTACAGAATCACATTTAACTTTCTTTGTTTGTGTATTTTTAATATTTATTTCATAAAATAGCATAGTCTTTTCATTCTTGTTTTTGTATAACTTTTTATATAATTGTTTACTATATAAATTTTATTTTTAGATTTTACACTTATAATCATATAAATTAAATTGAAAATAAAATTGATTAAGTCTTATAACATATAATGAAAAGCTCTAAATAGCAACAAAATTCAGTTTGACTTCTCAAAGTTTAAAATAATGTTAAAAAGATAATTGAAATTTGATTAGATGAAAAAAAAGAATTATAGACAGTATATAATTTACTTTATTAAAAAAGTAAAAAAACTAATTTAGGTACTACTTTAGTAAAAAAGGAAATTAGGCACTTTATTTAGGTGATTAATATATTTAGCCCGGGAGTATCTGTTATCACCATTTCATACATGGGGCTACTACCGTTTTTTTCTTCCTTTTTTTTTTGGTCCATTTCAGGTAAAGATTTTGGCCAAAAACATTTTGCATCTTCTTTTTTTTAATTTTTTTTTTTAAATATGACAGGTACTCAATTTTCTCTGTCAAACGCTGAATGGATAAGAGTGGAAAATCCTTCACTATTTTCGTTTGTTATCAAATGAAACTTTCTTAAATTGGTAAATGTCCTTTTGAGAGAGACCAATAAAATTCATCAACATTCACATGAAATTTTTATAAATGTCACCCTCCATGTTAACATCCTAGTCCCTCAAAAAGTATTGTTTCTCTTGGAATAACGTCTAAAATCTCATACGAAATTATTTTTAAAATAATTCTATTTATAAATCAATATAAAAATTAAGAACATAAATTATATATTTCAAAATTACATATAAAATTTATAAAATAAGATGTGAAAAAAATATTTTTCTTACCCAATATCAAATAATAAATGAAAATACATAAATAAACAAAAGTTATTAAAATACTGGAATGATAATTGAGACTATTTTTGCGAAGAGGTGAGTATTAAAAATTTTTTTATTGTAATACTCCGTATTTGTTTTTTAGGCAAATTTGTCCGTGGGTTTAAAATTCACATTAACATTATTGACTTAGGGCCTATTTGGGAATATCTTTAAAGATAAACGCTGCTCGTAGATAGTCTTTTGAAAACGTTAATGCTAATCGCTAACGTTATTCCTAAGCAAAATTTAATATATAAACATCATAGAAAAATTAGACTATTTGAAACAATAAAAGGTCATGGCTACTCACTATTTGAAATTTGAAAACAAATTTACAACCACATAACGAGTAAAATTTTGATAAAAAAGGAAGTAAAAACGTCACACAAATGGGATTAATATAAGATCATATGCTAATTTGGTTACAATTTTCAGAGCCTTTTTAACCATTCAAATAATGTTACAAACTTAGGCTTCTATGTTTCCCAACACCTACTTGGTAAAAAAGGCTGTGAAAATTAAACCATTAAGCTTAATCATTTTTTATAATCCTAATTAACAGTACATTACCTATTCCATGACACCGCCCGTAACAAATTTTTGGGCACGGCAAATTACCATACTACCCCTAGAATTTAACTTACCTGCGCAGCTACCCCTATAACACAAACTTTTATTGATTGAGATATAAGATGGGGGGAGTTAGTAGTATGGGCCCACGACGGACATCACGTGCGTTGCCTAAAAGCCACGTGACATCGAGGCCCCGCCGTGCTGCGGCGGCGGCGCCGTGAAGACCCCGTTCCAGATCTCCGTGAAGGCCCTGACAATGACGCCGTGATAGTAGGGAGAATTGAGCTGCAAGAAACAGTTGAGGAGCTCCTTAAGGTCGTGTTTGGAGTAGATGTTCTTCTCGAGAATCATCTGGAGCATGGAGTGCCGGAAGTCGAGGTACGGGTCGTCGGAGTCTTTCTCGACGGCGACGCTCTCCCCGCCGACCCTCCCGAAGCCGTGCACCGCCCGGAGGCTCTTGATCTCGGAGTCGGCTTCCGAGGAGGAGTAGTAGTTGTTGGCCGGGGAGAATGTGGTGGTGGCGGTGTCCCAAGAGCTGGAGGAGTAATTGGAGTAGTTCACCGGCGGCGGCGCTGCGGCAGAGGAGGAGGATTTGTGGTGGCGGCGGCGGGGCTTGGGGAGGAAGACGGAGGAGAGTTTGGGCCTTCTGCAGCTGCTGCCGCAGCCAATCTTGACAGCAAAGCTGCTCAGAACAATCTTTTTCTTGTGAGAAGACATTGCCGGAGTAAGGTGCTCTGTGTACAGGGGAAGTGGCAGGGGAAGAAAGTGTGGATATATGGAAATGGGAAAGGGGATGATGAAAGCAGAGGGCAGAGAAGTCATTTAAATTGTGCGTGAGACATAAGTGGCCTCTTTGTGCGGACAGTGCAATAATTAATTATGACTTTAAAATTTTGGGATGGGCACAATCTATGACGGTTCGCGATGCAACCAAATTTTATCACGGGTCGTGCTTATTAACGTGGCACGGTACGTGATGATTTTAAAACAATTCGGTATCATTTAATTTTGAAATAAGACGGTACAATGCCAACCATGCTTAAATCGTTCCAAAAAGAAAATCAAACATCCATAATTCAAAAATTTAAATACATACAAAACTTTGTGTAGAAGTTGAGCACATCTTTGTTCAAAAAAATGTATACAAATTTCAAAACTAATACTTTTTTTTTGAATAATAGAATATTGGAGGATAAAAATAATAAAAACAATAATCATTACAAAAATAGTAACAACAACAACAACAACCCAGTTGAATTCCACTACAGTAGGGTCTGGGATTACAAAAATAGTAAATTTTATAATAAAAATAATGGAAAAATTTTAAAAGAAGAAAACACAATGGGAAGTACTTCTTATCTTATATCATATGATGGAGTACACAAATATATATATATATATATATATATATATATATATATATATATATATATATATATATATATATATATGTTCTGGTGAGAATACAATCTTAGGAGAGAAATGAGAATGAATCTGGTGCTTTGGATTCTGAGATCTAAGGGTCAAGATTTCATCAAAATTAGATGCACCAAAATGGTTCGAAAATGCATCACGTTGAAATGCACCATAAGCCTTTGAAAATGCACTATCTCAAAATCTGAGCGCAGGATGTAATCTGAGCCACACGATGCATCAGATCTGACGGCTAGATTTTATTCTCATTTCTCTCCACAAGGTGCATTCTCACGGGAACCAGCCCCTATATATATATATATATATATATATATATATATATATATATATATATATATATATATATATATATAAACACAATAATAGTAACCGACCAATAAATAAACATTACCATGATTGTTAATATTACTTCAATACTTCCTTCGACCAAAGTATATTTGTCAAGTTTGATCTCTTTAATTAAAACTGAATGAACTTTAATCTTCATTTCACTAAAAATTGTAATTTGTATCAGATAAAACTAATTTTATTAGATTTATTTTGTTAAGAACTTTCAAAATTTTATTTCAGAATTCATGAAGCACCACAAAAGAGATTTTATATCTAGCCATATCAAAAGTGATCTTTTTTATTCATCAAACATGTCCTAATTAAAATTGTACTCTTATACTCCCTCCGTCCCAAAATATTTGTCATACTTGCTTTTTCAGTAGTTGCGAAAATTTTTGTTTATTTTTACGTTTTCATTGGTTATTTGATAAAATAAAATATTCTCGACACCTCTTATTTCAAAGAACTTTTCATGTAGTTTTTTGATATGTAAATTTTATTTTTTTATTTCTATACCAATATGTAAATAAAATAAATTGAAAAAACTTGATATTTTAACTCGGAAATACAAATGTGACAAATATCTAGAGATGAAAAAGAGAAATGTATACTTCTTGTTGGAAAATCAGACCAGTGTCATCATTCCTACTCTAACATGTCCACAGGTATATATACAGTGAAAGCCATAAATCATCATCATCATCATGGTAGTGTGTGTGTGTATATATACACACGTAAATGTGGAAGGTTATGAAATAATGATATACAAGTGACATTAATGGCGTGACAAAACCAAACGAGTTATGAGTACGTACACACAGTTCCCAGTAGTGATCCAATTCGATCAACACTGTACCTAATAAATTGTTGTGTTATTATTATTATTAACAACACCTTACCACAAATGGTGCGTCCATATATGCCTAGCAAGCTCGCCGGAACTACATCACATCCGACGGCGGCCGCCGTAGGCAATGTTATGTAATTAAAGAGAAGAGCACCACCGGGTTGTAGGCCGGCGGCGGCGGCGCCAGGCCGGGAACTGAACGAGGAATTGAATGGAAGGATCCAGCAAGATCTGCCATGTTGCCTAAAAGAAGAGCACCGAGCTGACCCCAGCGCCATATTTCATTTCACCCATTAATTAATTAATTAATCAATTAATTACATCGAGCTGTGCAATTCCGGCCACGCAATTACGTCACTGCCATCATGGCCATTACGTCGGACTATGCATGTATGCATGCATACATACATACATCATGCACATAGGAGTGACCATGACCATGACATTAATTTACTAGAGTATTTCCATGTATATAATGATGCTCAAGCCTTAGTCAACGGGATTTGATTATAGTCATATTTAAATTTATTTCTCAATTGGTCTGATCTGATTTCAAACTAAACTAATTGGTAATATAATAAGAATAAGTTGAAGAGAACAGAATCAGCTAATTAATTTATTACTCCCCATCCCAAATTAAGTGTTTTCTTAAGTGTTTCAAACACTTAAAAAAAGTTGAAACACACTTAAGAAAAGTTAGTCTTTCAAACAGTGTGTGTGTGTCAGTGAAGGCAAAAAACACTCCGTATTTGAGGTATACTTTTGTTTTTTCCGAGAGTAAAGGCAAAAAACTACTTCTGCACACTTTTGATTTTCGAATAATAACTTTTAGGTCCCATATTATAATAAATATACTCCGTGATACCTTTGATTTTTTGGTAATAACTCTCAAATCCCACATAATTCAAAATATACTGCACGTGGTCCTTAAATTTTATGGTAATGTAATCTAAGGACACATTTCGTTTACTAGACCATTATAATTGAAAGTTTGTTACTTTGACAAATATTAAACTTTACATTAACAATCATTATTTTATTAAATAAAAATTATTCATCAATTTATCAAAGTAAAATAACTTTTGATCCAACGTCAAAATTGAGATAATGTACCCTCTGAGTATAATATTACAAATTTTAAAGACCACAGAATATATTCCAAATATGAGACCTAAAAGTTCTTATTAAAAAATTGAGAAAACTCTAAAATATATTTTAGAAAATGTGGGACTTAAAAGTTATTACCAGACTACCTGAAAGTAACTTTTTGAAGGCGGCGAAATGATCATTATGTCCATCAAGTAGAATTAAGATGTGACAATATTATCCCTCTGCTCCCATCCTATTTCTCCTACCCAAAAGGCTAGTAGCATGGAATTAATAGCATAGCATATTAGCATTGCTTTTGTGGACAAATTCCAATCCCCAATTTTCAACTAAGGCCCAGGCCCGTTTACAGATCTCTGAAATCTTACTAACGGACAAGAATAGGCGACGACAACTCGCTGGTGGCCAGCGAGGGAGGAGTTAGCCGTCGGCGGCAAGTTGCTGGCAACGGTGGGTTGCCGGCGGTTGAAAGACGGGCAAAAGGACCGAACAAGAAGTAAAACATAGAGAAAATTTCATAATAAGAATTTCATATACTATTTATTTTCAAAATATGAGTTACAATGTTTATAATGTCCACTATAAAATATCAATATACAGTATCACATTGCAAATTTTTATTTTAACGATAAAAACATGTCACTCATATTTTAAGAATATAGGGTATATTTTTTCTTAACCAAATAATTAACTACTTTTGTGATATGAGTACATATCTCTTAATCAGGCTGGCAACATACTTAGCAGCCCATAATGAGCCAGCCTCAGTACAAGAGAAAGCATGAGTATGACCCTCTTGTTCCACTGCCACTACTGCCCCTGGAACCTTCTCACATATCTGCAAATCAATGAACCCCAAAAAAAAATTTACTAAAACAAATCTTTATATATAGAGTTTGATCTTATTTCTAACGATTTACCTCTTCGAGTACATGTGCGGGACCCCAATGATCGTCGAGCCCGAATAAAAAAGCCATCTTGTTTTTCTTTTGCCTCATGAAGGGCCAATCCAGTTCCTCAGAAAGCTATTTCATATATATATGAACATTGCATAAATGTCTGATTCTCCTCGGCAAAGTTTAATGGATGGGAGAACACAATGTTACCTTGTCAAACTCTGTCATCGCCATGAAGAGTACGTTCTGCATCGCGTGGAACTGAAAAAGTATCGAATTTCTAACCATGTTTGGTAATGGATATATTATTGTATACAATTGTGCATATGAAATCTATGTGCCTAAAATATTGAGCAATGATGTTACAATATTAAGGAAAGAGATGCTGACGTGGAGGAGATGCATGCAAAGGGCATCAACTGCAGTAGGAGACCAAAATTTCCCAACAAAATTCTTCACTAGAGATTTTGAAATCCATGCCGGTAGCATTCCTAGGCATGCCACAACAGAACTAAGCATTGCAGAGATAGTCCTCGACCTGCGTTAATGCTTCATTGAGACAGGACAACTAAGGTCTGTTTGGATGATGGGTTTTTGAAAATGTTTTGAGAGGGAGACTTTAGATGTCAATACGGCGTAGTCTATATAGAAAACACCCATCGCGTTATTTCTCCAGTTTGTGCAAAACATCGTATCTGTATGTGACTGAGTAAGGGAAAAAGGAAGTAGAGGGAAGGAGATTTACGCTGCAATCTTCTTGATAAAAGATTGTTTCCAAGATTTGGTGTTCACTGTCAAAAATGGGTATAGCCCAATGCAGAACCCCACCTAATTATTAGGGAGAAATTGGAAAGAAAAGAAGAAGAATACATTTACTCCGTTATAGTGAACACCGAAAACACCAATAACAAGATTTTACACATAAAGCAATATTAAATTCTTCATTTCTTTACCTCTTTATGTAATCTCTTAAAAACTTCCAAGGATATGTAGGAACCAATTGAGTGGCCAACCTTACAAAAAATCAATCGGGGTAAGGATGGAACAAAAATGTATCTTTGGGTTCCCAGTTAGAGTGTAAGTCATGATCCTACCAGGATTATCGGTACTTCAACATTATGAAATTCTTGCTCAATGAAGTTCATCTGAAATCGAAGGAAAATCGCAATGATTGATGTTAAAATCCCCAACAGCTATTAGCGCACCAAATGAGTCACAGTGAAGGTGACAAATGATAAATGACGTTATTGGCAATTACCTTGTGATCAATTTGTGCTTGCAGAGAAAACAACCTTCCAAGCTCCCAATTCTAGCAAGTGAATATATTGTGAAACTATTTTAGCCATTATTTTTCAGATAAGGGTTGCTTCAGATGAAAAATTTGTTTGCATCAAATACACGAAGCAGTACACAGGGTTGGTTTAACACATAGGTGTGGTTAGGTTAGATCATAGATGCAATGAAATAAAGTAATTTAATCAAATGTGTTTCTAATACTCCAATGCAAATTTGCACTAAAGATATGCGGAATATTTGATTATATTGCATGTTATTTCAGTTCGTCATATTACACCAGAATGTGAACTTCAACATCTGGCAAAATGTTTAGTTCAAGCATACTTAGAATATAACAGCTAAATTTCTAGAGAGAAAAGGCTTCAGAAACATGAATTTTTAAGAGAAAAGAACTAAGATTTTCAGTATTGATGTACCAAAGTACACTTGAGGGCGTTGCCTGAAAACTCAAGATACATCAAGGGAATGTTTGGATCACGGAAAATTCTAGTGGAAAGACAACAACTTAGGAATACTATTTCATTATGGTTGGCATTACCTTGTTGCTGTGAGATATGTGTGAGATAGCTGGAAAATGGAGAGCTTAAAAATCACTGCAGAACCATAAAAATATATATGCTGTATTCCAATATGAAGTATTACATTTAAATTGAAAAAATGAAAAAATCGCAGAGAATCAAGAAGACACCGTTCCTTGCCTGTCAGGGATACAGTTCCGCCCAGTAGCTCATACAGTGACTCAAGAAAATCAACATAAAATGAAGCAACACCTGTAACCACCATTATTGACAAAACTTGATCAAAAACTCCCTTTTTACACAACAAGAACACTCAAAATTCTCACTCAGTTCTTAATACCTGGATTTCCCGGAATGAACAAAACATGCAATTTTGGATCTTGGGCATGAATCTCCAGTAAATCGGTCTTGTAGCTGCCACAACAAAGAACCAAGAGATATCAACTTCCTCTACTACAAAATCAATGGCCACATCAAAGTTGTCTTCGCGTCGCCTAGGCATGTGAGCTCACCTGGCCTTATTTTGCATACCTCCCCTAGGCATTGCCTTGGCTCACCTAGACGTCGCCTTGGCCTCGCCTTGGCTCGCCTAGTCCAATGCTTTATTTTTTAAATTTTTATTTTTTACTCCAGTGCTTTATTTTTTTCAGTATTTTATACCCCAACTCCATTGCTTTATTTTTTAATGCTTTCTAAATTAGTCTATTTTCAATTTAATGTTTTTCTTTCTATGTTATCTTCCTAATTAATACTCCGTGCTTAATTTTTTATATGTTAAATGATTATTTATTTCCAATTTAAGTCGGTAATGCTTTTTTTTCCAACTTTGGTCTGTTTTTAGGAAAGTACCTAAAAGTAACTTGGGTGGATAAACACTTTCCTATATTAGAAAAATTTAAACTTTATCAACTACAATGTATATTGTGATATATTTATATTAGTGTTTTAAATGTATAACAACAACAACACCAACCAAGTTGATTTGATTTGGGTAATAATAATTTACATGTTACCCTCGAATGCCACAAGTATGGTATGGAGAGGGTGTGTGTATGCAGACCTTACTCCTACTCGAAAGTAGAGAGGCTGTTTCCAAAAAGACCCCCCGGATTGACAAACTGCTACTTCATTAATTAAAGATTAGAGATCCACTTTGCTTTTTTCCATCACACCCCAAAGCCAAATAATAGTGAACTTTCTCTTATATTATGTGTTGCCTAGGTCGTCACATCGTCGACTAGGCGTCCTGGCAATACCCCAGCGCCGTGCCTCGACTTGGCGCCTTGACAACTATGGGCCCCACTTTAGTAGCCAACTAACATTCCTCTACTTATTTGATTTATGTCCTTAGTCTTTGTGTGTGTGCGTGCATGTGTGTGTTTTTTCATCATACTACAGTTCATTGATTGCCGGCCTCGTGTAAAAAGGTCGTGCTCTAGATTTGACGGCGGACCTCACACAACACCGGTCGTTCCAGCGTGATTATCACCCACACACGTATGAAGAAATTTTCCAGAAAGAGTTGCTCTAAGTCAAACGTGTTTAACTGTGAAGAAAATGCATTTTATTTAATTGTGCAGTCTCATACATGCACTGTCTCAATTCATTCATGTGACCTTTTGCATACAATTCTTGCCTTCTTTGGCCCCGGGTATTACGGCTCATCTCGAAAAAAGTCTCTATTCTCATTTGGTGAGATATACTGGGATTGAATGGTTTGGCTTGGCACTTAATCTTGTTTATATATTAGAAAAAAAAACAAACTCTTTCATAATAAAATCTTAGTTATGATCCACAATGTGTCAAGAAAGACTTGGTCGATTGGCGATGGTAGCTATCGAGAATGAAATCGCAGAGAGTATAAACTGCGAAGTGGTGATCAAATGCTAGGAGAACTTCACAAATCGTCTGTTATAGCTATTGCGGTATGTAATTATATAATACTATGATTTTATTATGTTGATTACTATAACTTCAATCATCGTTTAAAAAAATTAGCTTATATAGGGCCTAGGGCTTTTAGGGCACTTGAATCAACCGGCGCTGAATCCCAATCTCTCGCCTCTTCACAATTATAAATAAATGCAAACATGAAAAAATAGTCTTGATTCACAAAACCCATTCTTCATAAGAAATTGGCAATAGAGAAATTTCAAAGATGGTAAGAAAAATAGAGAGAAATACCCAGCAACATTGCAGAGGCGGTATTTGGCTCGCTGTGTTTTGCTGATCGGCGTCGGATTTTCAAGAACCATCCGTGAAAGATTGCAGCTTGAAGATACAAACCTTCTTCTTCTTCTGTAGGTTTGGGAAGATATATATGGGAGAAAATGTGAGAGTCCAGTGCAAAACCTGGACTTGGGGCCAAGCGGTTGAGGATGAAGATGATGAGGGAAAATGCTGAATATCATTGTTTATATCGAACGACGACGTTTGAAGTTTGGGGATAGAATTGGGTATTTGGATAGCAAAAAATTGGCGTGGGGTATCTCGAGTTTTGTGGTAAGGACGGTCAGATATTTCTAATTTTCAAAATATATTACGAGGTACCTTAAATTTTGCAAAAACTTACCAAGGAAAAATGAAAAACTTACCGAGGTACCTTATTATTATTATTATGGAAAAACGAAAACGTGAAATTAACCATATACAAAATTAACATTTTGGGTCTTATTTTATTTTTTTCAGAGTACATATGTTCCAAAATTAATACTGAATTTGATTTTTAATAATCAGTTTTATAACAATTTAAATAATAAAACACAAATTAGATGTGCCCAATAATTCTTATCATAAAACTTAGGATACCTAGTAGTAGTTTTTGTTTGGGTAGAGATTTAACATGATTTTTTTTCCTATGTTTTTTTTTTGTTGTTTGATGATAAAAAAAGATTGGAGTTCACATGTCATGTGATGACCCGGAGCACACCAGTGCTACATTCTTAAAATTGAGGTTTCCTAATCCTTCCAACTTCCCGGTAAATCTCTCCCGCCTCGAGCCGAACACACCTCACACCCTTTACAATTACACTCCACAAGTTAATTTTGACTTTGGATTCAACGTTATTGTCATTTCTTTTTTTTTTTCCAAAACAGGAAACACTCCTAAGATAAGAGGCGTGAACGCGTACAAGATAAGTTGAATTGGGAGCGAACAGATAATGGGTAGAGCCGTCTGCGCCAAGGAACCAAACTTCTTTCTTCTAAGTTTTACCAATTCAATATTTCAATTCAAAGAACACTTTCTTCTAGACATTAACAAAAACAACCTTCATAATTTATACACACACACACACACACACACATATATATATATATATGTTCGATTTCCAGGCTAGACCAGATCGAGAATATATAACATAATCAAGCTAAGAAGAAGCTAAGACCACTCATTTAAAGCAGAAGATGTTAGGAGAGCTCATAACCCACAGCTTAGTGTATGCATGTGATTCTTAATTTTAATTAATTTATTTATTTATATATATACCCATAAGAGTATTAAATTCTATTGTTTTTATTTAAATAAATAAACTAAATGGATATCCAAAATGGGTGCAGATTGGTTCTTGGGTATGCGTACCCAGCTTTTGAATGCTTCAAATGTGTGGAGAAGAACCGAGTTGACATCCAACAACTGCGCTTTTGGTGCCAATATTGGTATGTACCTATGTTTACTCATTCCTGACCAATAATATATAAAAATATATATTGTTTAATTATGTTTTTCTTCTTTGTACTCATTTATGCTTGATTTTTATATTTATTTTCTTTTTTTTTTCCAGGATTGTTGTGGGCTTAGTGAGAGTTATTGAAAGTGTTGGTGACATTTTCATTTCATGGTATGCTTATTCCATCTATATTGATGAATTATTGATGTTTTTTTATGAAGTGTGAAATACATATTGCAAATGCAAATATATGTTATGAATCAACTGTCATATAATTTCCATGTAGGATACCAATGTACAGTGAGGTGAAGTTGGCACTTTTTATATACTTGTGGTATCCAAAATCCAAGGTAAAAAAAATGGAGTCCGGGTTTCTTTACTGAATTTGAAATGTTGGTGAAAAATAATACAGAAAACGAAAACAAGAAAGCGAACAACTTAATTTGGGACAAATGGAATATGTTTTATATACATATATATATATATATATATATATATATATATATATATATATATACTCATTTGGAAGTGTATTGGGTGAAAATTGGGGCAGGGGACAACATACATATATGGAGCAGTGTTGAAGCCATTTGTATCAGAGCATGAAGGGGACATTGAAAGAAGTGTCCTACAGTTGAAGGATAGAGCATGGGACTTGGTCCTCTTTTATTGGCAAAATTGTACAGATTTGGGACAAGAAAAGTTCTTTAATCTCCTTGATTTCTTGGCTACTGGAAGAATGCTTACTACTCCTCAATCCTCCAACTCCAAGGTAACTAATTAATGAGACCACTATACATATTTCCTCCTTTCATAAACAAAAAAAAAATGGAATAGAGCCGGAATTGTCAGAACTACCCGTATCCAATTTCGATTAAGGTTCCGGAAATCAGAACCGGAACTATCGGAACTACCCGTTCCCAGTCCAGAGTACTTCTATGGTGCACTTTGGGTGCATATCATTTTTGTGGACTTTCTCACCTAATTTTTTTTTTACAATTTTTTAAATAAAGAAAAACAAATGCTTATTTAATTTAAAAAAAATGCTAATTTTTGTTCATATATAAGTCTATGATAGACCTTTTAGATGCACTATAAAATTTGTCCTAGTCGTATGGACCTCTTCTTGTGGTAGTGTTGGGTCTATTTTCGGAAGCACCTTCACCCGTCCAATTTGGCATGTTTGCATCAACCATCAAATCCATCTTTATGAACATAATCTAGTCATTTGTACATTTTTCCTAAAATAAGATTTTGATAAAATTCATGTTTTCTTTTTATTTGTCTCAAGATAAATATCATGTATATCTTCTTTTTTAAATTGTAATATATGGCTAATATTTTTGGATATGGAATATTTAATTAGAAAGAATGTTGGAATGGTCTTTAATTTATGATTGTTGTTATTAATATCATGCAGCATAAAGATGATGACCAGCAATGCGCTGGAGCTCCGGCCGGTCCCCTCCCTCCGCCTCCCGCCACCGTCAAATCAGGCTTTTTCCGGCGGCACAAATAGCCTACCCTCAGCTCCAGCGGCTATTTCTCTGTACAAATTCCGGCGACCCACTGCACCCGCTCCCTTATTAGTTGATTCATTCCAACTCCTAAATGACTTGTCTCTGATCTATTTAAAAAAAGAACTAAATTATGTGTACTCCAGTGCCCTACTTTATATCCCGAAAGCATGCACTAACATTTTATACTAGTGTAATGCTAGTATGAGTTTACAACGACACAAAATGTCAATGTAATTTCTTTTAATGACTGACATTTTTGTGCCGGTTTGAATTCTTAAAATATATATGAATTCTTTTAAGGTAGTATACCCTAGCATGGTTGTTTAAAAAAACATCTTTGTACTATTATTTCATTCCATTTCATATTCTTTTTTTATTAAACCCAAATATGTAATTTACAGAATTGTCAAGGAGTACTTGGTTTTACCATGTTGCACAAATTCTTAAAATAAGCGTCAAATAGAAAAGTTGCTTTTTTTCATTTTTTTCTACTTTTTTATGTTTTTTTGACAAAATGTAACCATGGAACATATTCGGTAATCTGTAAAGATTTGTTTAAGAGAAAAAAAAGAGGGAAAAAAGAAAAAGAAAATACAAACTTGTCAACATTTTAGACGCCGAATCCCAATCGAACAGAATAGACAGTCAACGGCGCGAGTCAACGGCAGAAGGATGTGGCGATCGACGAATTCCAGGAGAGCCACGACGGAGGAGTTGGGGGAGAAGCGGTGGCCGAGTTTTTGGAGGAAGCTCTGCCCGGAGGATTCCGTCGAGATGGACATGGGCTGAAGGTAGGCCCACGCCGCCTGTTGCACGAGGCGATTCCGGATAAGGATATCGGATCCGTGGTGAGATCCCGGCGGCGGCGTGGCTCTCGGGGAGTTGACGGCGGCGGCGGAGGGCAGGAGATCCTTCAGGGAGGTGTACTGCACCTGCTTCATCGAGAATAGCTCGAATCCGAGGTCGCCGTGCGACGACGCGGAAGATGAATCCGACGACGCCGTGGCGGCGCACGAGGAGGAAAAAGAGGAGGAACTGAATTCGCGGTTGCGGCTGAGGCTGAGCTGGCTGGGAGTGCGGACGACGGAGTTGCGGCGGAGAACAATACTGTTTCCCGGCGATTGGGCCGCTTGTGGTGGCGGAGCCGTTTTAGCATCGGCCATGGTGGTGGCGCCGGCCGTGTGAGAGGCGGCTGATGGAGGAGGAGTAATAGATGGATCAGGTGCTCTTTAACGGTAAGAGTGATTAGTGGGGGGTCAGTACTCACTCTCCTTTAAACGCGCTTTATTTTCGGGATTCTGTTGCTCCGGTTGTAGTATAATTGCGGAGTAAATCGCTACCCTTTTGGTCATTTCAGTTTTTGGTCTCATCCTTTTAAAAAAAGGAGGATAGCCGCATTAACATTTTACTATGGGCATGTTTGGCATTTAGCTATTAGGACATTTCCAATGGTAGTGTGGAAAGGGTTAGAATGTCCTTTTTTCAGATTTAACCATTGAGATTGTGGCGGATTCAGAAATTTGGATAGATGGGGGCACAAGTGCACAACTGGTCAGAGATCCCGGACTAGCACCTCTGATTTTTTTTTAAAATAGACAGTATAAAATGACAAAAAATAATAAACTTATTTTAAACATTTATAAAATGTAAAATATTGTTTAATAGGTAATATAAAATTTTTTTACAAACAATAAAGTATACGGAGTATGCAATAAAATATACTTTACTTCAATAAAATTAATAAAAAAAACTTAAAACTAACTTAATTAGATAAGATTCCATTAATTTTGTTGGGAATACATAATTCTAGATGGGGTCAACCCCAATTTAGATGGGGGCATGCAACCTAAAGCATATAAATTTTTTCAAAAAAAAAAATAGTTTAACACCAAATATAAAATATTAGTAGGGGGCATTGGCCCCCAATTCTTTCTTACTAGATCCGCCCCTTCATTGAGATGAATAAAAAATAGGGAAAGTTAGAAAGTGAGTCTGGAATTCAAAACACTACCAACTCAATTCATCTAATAAAAGAGAGACACATGTAATCAATAATAATTAGTTGTTGAAAAACATATAAAAATTAGAAGATGTGGTTGGAGTTTCTGAACAAAAGCAAGCCCCTAAACTACTTAAGTACGGAGTAATAGATAGTGTAAAAGCAAAATTTAGCTTCTCTTGTTCCAAAGCGTAAAATTGTTCGTTCAATCATCTTTTACCCACTACTCAACGAAATTGTGAGATGATATAAATTATGGTGCCAATACTCACTGCGCACAAGGAGCACCCTTATTTTTGTGAAGTTGTTCCCACATAATGCTCTATCCTTGGTCTCTTTATTCAAATTTCAATTATGAGACCAATGGAGCTGCCCATGTAGGCCCATAGTTAGCTTTTCTTAGAGATGTTCTTAGTTGCTAATTTTTAAGATTTTGTCTGGATAAGGAGGGAGAATAAGAGAAAAGAAAATGATGATAAAAGTAAAAGAAAATAGATGATGTTTAGATGGGTAGAAAATAAGAACAAAAGTAAGCGAAAAGAAAAGTTGGTAAAACAAAAGGCACCAAGGTTCCCATGACATTGCCCGACAATGTCATGGGATGACCCGGGGGCTCTCTGGTGTCCCGTTCGTAAAATTGGCGGTTTCTACCCCCAACCCCCTTGGTAAACCTCCCGGTAAACCCCCCACCCCGCCCCAATCCGAACACACCTCCCCACCCCCTTCACTTTGTAGTTAAATTTTGACTCTAAAGTCAAAATCAACTTGTGGGGTGCAATTGAAAGGGGAGGAAATGTGTGTTCGGATCGGAGCGGGATGAGGGGTTTACCGAGGGAGTTAGGGGAGGTAGGAACCGTCAATTTTACAAACGGGGCACCGGAGCGCCCCCGGGTCATCCCATGACATTGTCGGGCAATGTCATGGGAACCTTGTTCAATAAAAATACATTTTTATCATTATTTATGCCAATGAAACAAAGAAGAATTAAGGATAAAATTTTCATTTCAATAATTTTATCTTCTTCCTTTAGGCTGTGTTTGGTTGGGGGGGAATGGAGGGGAGGGGATGGAAAATAAATTCCTCCCCTTATTTGGTTCTAAAATTATAGAGGGAAGGAAACCTAAAATTTTGACTCAAATTCCCTCCCCTCCCCTTATTTTCGTTCCCTCCGAATCGGGAGGAAAGGTTTATTTTTTTAGCCGGAACTCCTTCCTTTTATCATACAGAAAAGCTGCTGGAGCCTTTGTTCTCTCGCAATAGAAGCCTCCTCCTTTAGCGCCATCTCTATCGTCCTCCCTCTCAAGCCTCCTTCTTCATCAGCTCTCCATCAGGTAAATTGATTTACACCTTTTCTTATTTTCCAATAATTTGTCTAGTTTTTTTTTTGGAAATTGATTTACACCTTCTCTTATTCTCGATCGGCTCTTCATACCTAACTTCAGCCCATGGCAGCAATACCCTATGATTTTGGTTTGCCCCAAATTTTTTCCCAATTCTTGTGTCTTTTTTTTCCAATTCTTTTGATTTTTTTTTGCATGTTATTGGATATTAGAGTAAGAATAGATTTTTAATAGTGACAATCCAATTTTTGCAATGAATATGATTTTATTTTTTCTCATATTCATATTTAGGAATATGTTTTCATTTACATTTTATATTACAATTATAGCCAAATTATGTTTGTTAAAATTATGAATAAGATGTGTTAAATTCATTTTATTCCCTCCCCTCCTCTCTCCAACCAAACAAAATATCATGAAACCTTCCCTTCCCTTTCCTCAACCAAACAAAGTAAATGGAACTCTTCCCTTCCCTCCCCATTCCTTTCCATCCCTCCCCTCCCTTCCCTTCCCCCCAACCAAACACATCCTTAAGTTTTCTCGCCATATGAGGGGAGAAAATATTTCTTACCTCTTTTCTCTCTGCTTCCCCTTTTCTCTCTTAAACAAACAGTTGGTTTTGTTTTGAAATCTGTGTTTTCTCCTCACTCATTTATGGAGACTCCTAAAAATCGACAAGATTTGTGTAGTTATTTACGTAAATTAATTGTTTACCAAAATTTCTAAATATACAGAATAGAGAGTATTACACAACATTAATTTGTTTTATTTGAATCTCTTGAAGTATGTACCTTATTAGGTATTTTGGATTTTCTTGGTGAGCAAACAAGATATGTGTTTTGATATCTCTAGTTATCAAAATTCTTTTTCGGTGTTTAGTGAAGCCAAAAAAGATTTCGAATTCAATATTTCAGATATCATAAATCTTTAAAATGGAGAGTGTCAATATTTCTCGAATTTCAGAGATATGAATATGGGGGTTTGATATCTCTCTCAACCAACGATCATTCTGTTGACCCTTGTGTTTTGATAATGACAACCATGCATATGGGATGAGCTTTGGATTTGGATCTTTTCAAGTGGATTGCCTAGTACGTTGCTTAGAGATTCAAGACAAGATTTGAAGATTAAAGGTTTTCTAGATTTTTATTTCTTTTGAGTCTTAGTTCATGTTAAAGTGTTTGGCAAATCTTTATTCTTTAAAAACTTTGTTTTTCCTACAAGAATTCCTCTTTGATTGTTTTCAAAACCCTTTCTCAAAACCTTTCTTCAAAAATGTTTCTTCCCAGCGTTTTATTCGAATAAGAGGGACTTCTGCAGATTGCAGTTCAGTCTGTTTTAATCGAACAAATGTTTGTTTTATTTGAATAAGGGCTGATTCCAGTTTTTCCAAAGTTTTGAAAACTATTCGAATAAATGACTATTTGTTCGAATAAGTAGGCTCCCAGTTTTGCAGTTCGTTCTGTTTTATTCAAATAAATTCAGTAATTATTCGAATAAGCCCTATGTCTTGAAAATCCTGTTTTACTCAAACTATTCGAATAAATTGTGTTTTATTCGAATAAATCGACAATTTTCACAACTAACGGTCAGTTTTTAAATTCCCGTGGAGGTTTCTTCGATCCCATCCATATATACTTTATCTAGTTCCGGTTTTCAAATAACAAGAACATCCAAGAACATTTACAATTGCTATCCTTTGAGAATTTCAAAGAGTTTTATTGAATCAAATCCTCCTACTCAATTCATTCAAGCATTTTCTTGAGCAATCCTTCAAATTGAAGTTTGGAGAGTCATTTGTGCCATACACTATAAGTTTGGTTGTAATCTACAACATATCTGCTCTTGTTCGAAGAGTCAATTCCGCTGTGCACTTTGGTTTGTAAGTTTTTAATTTGTAAAAACTTGAATTTGAAATAATTCAAGTTTTGGATTGAAATCCAAAGTCTTGTGAAATCAAGACTTCGGTGGAAAGGTTAGAGGCTTGTGAAATCAAGTTCTCGAGT